AAGCCCAGCTCCCTCAGCCTCTCCTCGTAGGAGAGATGCTCCAGTCCCCTCCTCATCCCCGCAGCCCGGCGCTGGACTCTCTCCAGTAGCTCCTCATCTTTCTTGAACTGGGGAGCCCAGAACTGGACCCAGTACTCCAGATGGGGCCTCACTAGTCTGCTTCCCACAGCTGTTGGTGGGTCTGGGGTTTCCCAAGGTTTTCTCAGCACACACAGTGCTGGGGAGGCAGAAAACCCACACGCTCGAGATGAAGGGAGAAGAAAGAAAACCTCTTGTGGGCTCCACTGAGGAGACGGGCAGACTGATCCGTGAGCTCAGCTCCCCGTGCCGGGCAAGCCCACCATCTCCCACCCCAGCCTCCTTCCGCCAGGTCATTAACACCACGGCTGAAGGCAGAACCCAGCAAAGCTCAGGAGCTCCCTGACACACTCCAACACCACGCTGGATTTCTTTGGCTGGAAAAGCTTTTTTCCGAACGTTTAACCAGCTGCAGCCCTCGTGCCTCATTCCGCAGCTCCAGCTTTCGTGCGAAGCTCCCCAGCTATAAAGGAGCAGGAGGTGGGCAGGAAGACGTGCACGGGCCGTCTCGGGGACCCTCTTTCCAAACCAGGATGGGTCCCCCCAGGAGGCGTCAGCCGCTCTCCGCGACGTGGGGTTTATTACATTCCTGTAGGGTCCTGGGGAAGGCCAGGAGAATGGGTTTATTACTGCCTAATATTCCACTGTTTTTATTTTAAATTAATGGATTTCAGCTTTTTTCTTTTTTTTTTTTATTTTTCCAACATTTTATTTGAACTAAAACAAAAACATATTTACGCAAATTAAAGATGCTGATGATCGGGGAGGGGAGGCTGTTTATGGAGCTTTTGTTTCCACACCCTGCATCCCAGCACCGCCACCCATACGGCTTCTCCGCGACAGCCGCACCAACGACCAGCGTTCTGCGGGCACAGAGAATTAACGGGGGGCTGGAGAGACAGGGACGCTAAACCTGCCTCCAACCCTCTGCCAAACCTACAGAGATGCTCCTCAGGGGCTTCTGCACGCAAAAGCTACAACAGAAACAAGAAGCTGCAGTCTTACTCCATCACTTACTCCTTGTGCTCTGCCTGCCCGATTTTTGCTCTGTTTTCAGCAAGTGAAAGCCCACTTTACCTTTCCTTCCATCCTTCATGGTCAGACCCTGCAGGGAGACCCTTCCTCCCAAAGACACAGCGTAAAAAATGCCGCAGCGAGGAAGTGAAAAGCAACGCAACTCAATTCTGGCCTGAAGCACGCAGGAGGAACGGGCACAGCTCTCGGCAGGAACAGCCCGTGTCCCGTAACTCATGGGCCCATGTCAAGAGGGATCTAAGAGGGGTGAAGACCCCCAGGGTCAGAACCCTGCTAGGGATGAATTTGGGGCATGGAGGAGAATTGCTCCTCTGGAGCGTCAGCCCTGAGACAGCAAAGCAGCTTCACTGCCCTGCTTACAAAACCACAGAAGAACCCAAACATCTGATTTTCTTCCGAAAAATGCACAAAGGGAGCAGCAGACACTTCCCAAGGAGGTATCTGTCACTGCTCGGGCGCTGCCTGGCATCTCCCCCATCCCCATGCTTCGAGGGCACCAGGCTGTGCACCTGCAAGGTCCAGGACCGTGCAAAGTCCTGCTGATGAGGTGAAACCTTCCTTGGGGCGAAACCCTCCTAAGAAGGCCAACACCGTCTTAGTTCAATTTCTGCCAACATGACACCGAGGACGTGTCACAGTCCCTGAGCTAGGACATGGAAGAGCATGGAAATTCCATCAAGTCCTCAACCATGCCACTGCAGCCACCCAGGACCCACCACCTCCACCGAGCTACCAGGCTCTGCTGGCACGCGCAGAGAAGCCAGAGGCTGTTGGGAAGACATCTGACCTCCAGCACATACGTAATTCCGCCTGGTCCGCAAGGACGAGAGGGAGGAAGGTTCCTCATCCCTCCTCCCAAAACCGACCTCATTTTCTTTGACAGGAAAGAAAACGATTGCTGAAACGCACACGCACACACCTGCAGCAAGGTGAAGCTTCCATTTTTCTAGGACAGCGAGGGGACCTTTCACGAAAAGAAATGCCTACATCTTGGCAGATCTTCAAATATACTTATATATGCACATATATATCATTCATAAAACCCATTAATCAAGCAAGTAAGTTAGAAATTAAGCAATACATACATGAGGCTGGGCCCAAGAAGCCGGTATGTTAATTAATGCTGAGCTGGTCATACCCTCCGCAAGCTACAAATTAAAATGATTGGTTATCAATGGGGTTAGAGAAACAACGTTTAACACACATCAGCAAAAGCACAAATTAGGAGAAATAAAATGAATGAACCCAAAAGTGCCACCTTCCCCCTCCCCTGGGTTACAAGACTGGGGTCTCCCCAGACCAGGCAACCTTGGCCCGAGAGCAGGGTTTGGATTTTCATTGATGTTCATCAGATGAAACTGGGTTTGAACGGCTGCAGAGAATAAATGGGGTATCACAGGGAAACTGCAGCAAAAACCCAAGTTACAGAAAAGCCATTAATATTTCTCTGCGGAGGGCAGCATTTCCTCCTGCAGACACTGCGTGCTGGCAAACACGGCGAGCCAAGGTCATCGCAGGAGACGGGGAGGGACCTGACCCAGGGTGCTTTTGACAGAAAGGAATTAGGAGAGCTCAGGTCACAGAATCACAGAATCCCACCATGGCAGGGGTTGGCAGGGCCCTCTGGGGTCCCCCCCTGTGCCTCAGTTTGTGCCCATTGCCCCTTGTCCTGTCGCTGGGCACCACTGGAAAGAGTCTGGCCCCGTCCTCCTGACCCCCACCCTGCAGATATTTAGAGGCATTTCGAAGGTCCCCTCTCAGCCTTCTCTTCTCCAGGCTGAATAAGCCCAGCTCCCTCAGCCTCTCCTCGTAGCAGAGATGCTCCAGTCCCCTCCTCATCCTCATAGCCCTCCGCTGGACTCCCTCCAGTAGCTCCTCATCTTTCTTGAACTGGGGAGCCCAGCACTGGACCCAGGACTCCAGATGGGGCCTCCCCAAGGCAGAGCAGAGGGGGAGGAGAACCTCCCTCGACCTGCTGACCACACTCCTCTTAACGCTGAGCACAAGGGCAGCTTGTCTTTGGCAAACCCAGAGCTGCCATCCCCCTACTCCTGCCCCAGGCAGCAAGCAGCAGCTCCTCTTCTGTCAGGCAGAGTGTGTTTCCCTCAAGATGCAGAGGGGGGAGAAACGAGATGTTCTCCTCAGAAAACAGCGGATTTTGAGCATCAGACCAAGCCAACAGTGCTCTCCTCACTTGCCAGCTCGGGCTGGTCCCCTAAAACACTGTTTTTGACCCCATTGAACCAGACCTGCATCAGACCTTGGTTGAAGCTGAAAAGCTTGAATTTACAGCTGCTTCATGGGGGGAAGATTCCCCCAGGCTCCGTTCCCACCAGGACACCCATGGAACTTCTGGAGGCTAGTGGGAGACAGCTCCTCCATGACTGTTTTCTCAGCCACCAGTAGAAACAAATATCTGCTCATCGCTTGGGGTTGCAGATGGACCTCATGGTTGTCCTTCCTGCTCCATTTCCCACGCGGACGAGGACCCGGGAAAGAGCACCAAGAACACGGGGAGGCTGCGGGTGCAGAGCAGGCAGGAACAGGGGCTGGTCCAGCAGACCCTTGGATGTGCTCAGCCCTTGCAAAACCCTGCTCCGCGGACCTCTCCCAGAGAAGCAAACTAGAAGGGTTTAGCCTGGGAGACCTTGCTACAGAAAAATTGCTTTTCTATGAGTTTTAGGACCTTCCTTGATTTGGGTAACCATGATGTTTGCAGTTCATGTGCACACAGATTTGTTTCAAACAGACCTCAGGCTGAACTTCTCACCCCACTTGGATGAGATGGACAACACACTCAGCAACCTCAGAGCAGAGGGGTTTTGTGTCTGTTTGTTTTCTCTGTTTCAGATGAGGACAACAAAATGGTGCTTTGTTCCAGTCATCCATCAGAGGAGGGACCAAAGCCAGGCTTGGCAAGGAGGGAGCAAGGCTTTGGAGCCACACAATGCAACACACCCATGCACACATGCACGGGCAGGAACAATCCCGGCTCCTGCTTCCAAGGTCACCCCTGGAAGAGCAAGCAATACAGAGACTGTGGCCCAGGGCATGGGCTCCTGGCCTGGGATCCATCGCCTTTCCCAGGGAGAAGGGGTAGGATGGCCCCTGCAGACTGGGATTCTTCCTTCAGCCTCCAAACCTGGCCCCAGAGGAGAGCAGAGTGGGGTGGAGGGATCCTGAAGGCTGCAGGGTGTCAGACCACCCAAGCAAAAGTCACCCCAATTCAAGTCCAACACCAGGAGAGGATGGGCATGGGAGGAACAGCATCCAGGGCCAACACGTAGAGGTTAGGGAGGGAGATAGTGGGAATTCTGGTTTGGCTTTCCAGGAACAAGCTCCCTCCTCCTCCACTCCCCAAAAGAAGGGCAAAAGTGGAAGACAAACAAACAAACAGAGGAGAATTAATCCGGGGTCAAACTGAATGAGTCAATTCCTTGCAGGGTGTTTCGTTTGCGAAATGTTTGCTTCAGTAAAGAAATGTCCAGGTCTTCCACTCTGAAACCACTGCAGAGGAGCCTTTGGGCTTCGCCACTTCCCTCTCCCCCTTTTCGTCCTTCCCCTTCCCCTTCGAACTGTTCCCCCAGTTCAATCCCAGTTTGCAGATGCCTTCAACGGGCTCCAGACTGCCCCGGGGAACAAAGCATTCGTTGCAGAGCTGGGGTGCCTCCAGCTGCAAACCTCTGTCTCGCTCCCTCTCCCGGGACCTCTGCGGCCCCCCGTGCCCCTCCACCTCCGCGGGGAGCAGCCCCCCGCTGTCTGCACCTGTAGAAAGGCGTGCGTGCCCCCACCCAGAGCTTTGGCACCCAAAAGGCTGGTCCCAGCAGGTTTGGCATCAGCGTGGTGAAGTCCCTGCACGGTCTGGGAGAGCTGCAGCCCTGCAGATCCCCGTCACCCTCGGTGTTTCCCTGCTGAGAAGACCCGAGCCGCTCCACCTGCACCCGCCATGGGAGCACCACAAGGAACTCAGCTCACTACATCTGCTGCCCGCGACTATTTTTGGGGAAGAAGGCCCTGCCTTCAGGTCCGGGGACATCGCTAGGGAAATATTTTTCTGACCTTTGCTGGGCATATTAAAAAAAATAATAATTACCTCATGCAATATGTGGTGTCTTTTATTTTGGTTAAAGGAAAGTCAAACACGGGCGAAAGCTCACCTCACTTCACTTCGCAACCTAAGGCTGAAGGACCTCATTTTGGTGAGGTCAGAGGTGCCCCCCTCTACCCACCCCTCCCTCCCCTATTGCCACAGTCCTCCTCTTCCTCACAGGCATCCTCAGAGGCCAGAAGGTCCCTCACCTCTGCACCCGCTGCCCATAAGTCCCTTCCTGGATGTTTCGCTGGTTGTTGGGCCAAGCCCGAGTCCCCTAATGCCGAGGTCGCACACAGGATGGGGAGGTGGGCTGGGTTTCCTTACAGACAGGTTTAGCTCTGCACATCCCAGCCAAAAGTGGCCTGGGGGAGCAAGTGTCAAGAAGGAGAAGATACCCGGGATCAACTGCAGGCAACGCTCAGCAAGGGCTTTTGAACAGGGAGCCCGTGGGGCAAGCCATGGGGATCTCGCAGATGTCACCAGCTTCTCCACCCCAACACCAACCAGGAGCACAGCTTCCTCCTCACCAGGGCTCGGACCAGGATGCTCTGTGCCCATGGCCCAGGACCGATGCTGCCAGGAGATGCATCTTCCCCCATCTGCAGCCCAAAACCCCGTAACTGCTCTGCAGCATCTCCAGAGCGGTGACAGGTCCTCACCTCCACCGAGAAGAAATCAGCGGCAGAGAGACGCTGAGGATCCAGCTGCCAGCAACCCTCTGAGGGCCCCATTTTCTGGTTGTCACCTTCCAAAAATGCCTCTTTTGGCTCCAGGTCAGTAGAAAACCTCATTTCCCTCTGCCAGACGGCAGCCTGGCCACCAGGACCACCAAAGGCCACCCACAGGTCACAGAGCTCCGGCTCTAGCAGAGTCGCGTCCCTGGGGCTGGGAGCACACCAGGTCCCTCTGACAGACCCCAGCCTGCTGTGGACACAGGCAGCGGTCCTGATTTTCAAAGCAAATAGTGCATGGAGAGCTATCTGTACCAAGGATGAAACCTTGATCCATGTACCCCTCCACGGTGTGTGGGTCTCCATCAGAACAAGGAGAACTCCAAAGTCTCAGGGAAGAACTTCAGAGCTACAGAAAGAGCGTTTTTCCCCAGACTTGGACAGAAAGCACACAAATTTCTGAAGAAGGATGAGTGGCAGGGCGTAATTCAAAAGACAGATAGAGAGACCTGGCACTGGCATGCCATCAGAGATGCCTACAGCTTCTGCAGCAGCACCCCAATATTGCACTGGCTTTAAAAACTGGTGAAAAAGCAGAACGTCTGTTTGGACAAGAGCATCCAGAGCAAAGCTTTGGAAGGGATGGGAGTTGGGGGAGGGTCAAGGACTGCTACTTTCCTTCCTCCCATCATAACCTGCTCACGAGAAACCCACCAGCCCAGCCCTGAGTGAGTGCAGGCATCGGGAACAGGTCCCCTTGGCGCAGCTCTCCCTCGCTGGGGTGGGAGGAGATGGGGGGAGCAGGGCCAGATCCCGTGGCGCCTGCGGTGACGGGGTGCAGCTCCCGGAGCAGCGGCTTCCCCACGATGCTCCACCACATCTGAGGAGGGGATTAATTAATCCTCGTCTGCAACTGAAACAGCCCCTCCGTGCCAGGGCACCGCGCACACGCAGTAACAGAGCCGCTGGCCTCGCTCCAAATTAGCCTAACGAGGACCAGGTTTTGGGATGGGCTCGGAGGAGAAGCGGGCTGCCACTCTTCTCCCACCTCTCCTGTCACCTTCTGCCGCCTTTGACCGTTCTGAGGACATGATCAACGCTGAGCTGCACGTGAAACAGGTCCCCGCACACCACGACCCTGCTTTGCCTCCCAAACTACCCCAAACTACCCCAAAACACCCTGCCCAGCTGCCTCCGGGTCGGCATCTCCCAGCGATGGACAGGGCCAAAGCATCCCCTCAAGCAGTGATGGAGGTTTGCACCTTTGGCTCCTCAAACACAGGTGTAAATGGGGTCAAAAAAGTCGATCCGGCATCTACACCTTGGTTCACTCCATGCGTACGTGTCTACACAGCACCTACACGGCCTCTGGCTTGCACGCCCCACGCCACCAACGAGCATGTTCACAGTTAACACTGGTCAAAAGATGGGGGGGGGTAAAAAAAAAAAGCTTTGAAGGATGTTTTTTCATTTTCTTTTCCAAATTAACCGCAAGAAAAAAGGTGGAAGCCAAAAGAAATTTGAAATTCTGCCATTTCTGGAGCGCAGACTGGAGAGGACTGTGAGCCCTGGGTTTCTCTCTCTTGCCTTGCCCTCACCTCCAGCTGCAACACAACCTGGGGGAAGCAGGGAACCGGTGAACAGGTCTCGGGGGGAACATTGGAAATGAACTAAGGGCTGCAAAATTAACACAAAAAACTTTTTTGCCTCTAGAAAGTGCCCAAAGAAAAGAAAAATCTGTAAAAAAAGATCTTTCCATGAAAAAGCCATGGCAATCCAACAAGAGCGCTTCAAGCAACAATGGGCATGGCCGAGCCGGGCAGAATCACAGAATGGTAGGGGTTGGAAGGGCCCTCTGTGGGTCACCCAGCCCACCCCTTGCCCAAGCAGGGTCACCTACAGTAGGCTGTAGAGGACCTTGTCCAGGCGGGGCTGGAATATCTCCAGAGAAGGAGACTCCACAGCCTCCCTGGGCAGCCTGGGCCAGGGCTCCGGCACCCTCAGAGGGAAGAAGTTCTTCCTCATCTTCAGCTGGAGCTTCCTCTGCTTCAGTTTGTGCCCGTTGCCCCTTGTCCTCTCACTGGGCACCACTGGAAAGAGCAGCGAGTCCCCACCACAGCGTGGGGACACCCCAGCGCGGGGACACCCCAGCGTGCTCCCTCCACCCTGCCCACACAGCCAAGCCGGAGGAAATGGTGCAAACTGGAAGTCCCACCAGCCCCACGGAGCACCAACGTCCAGCGCAACCTTGGCCAAGCACCTTCAGCAGAGGTTCGTGGAGGACCCCCAGCTCCACGCCAGCCCCAAGCCGGGGTCCCGCGGTGGCCTGGCGTTGCAGCAGCCAGCCCGAGCCGTGCCGGCTGCCTGTGGGAAAGCAAATTTGGGTCAAAACCCTTCGTTTCCAGAGGGAACTATATCTCCCTCTCGTTACCTTCACCAAGTCCCAGGAGAAGGAGCGACAGCGGTTTCTGGAGCGACCCCAGCAAAGGCACGGAAAAATCAGGGGTGGGAAACGGCGCTGGCAGGTGAAGATCAGAGGAAAGGAAATATTTTGTAAAATCAGCTGCGTTTAGCAAATGTCTTTGCCATCAGAACAAGGCAGCAGAGGGCCGGCTTGGGGATGACCGTTCCGATGCTCCCGAAGAGCAGCACTGCACGTCGGAAGTGCTGTGGGTTGTTATTTTGCTACACAACGCCTTTTTGACTGAAAATTCACAAAAAAAAAAAAAAAAAAAAAAAAAAAAAAAAAAAAAAAAAAAAAAAAAAAAAAAAAAAAAAAAAAAAAAGGGGGGGGGTTTAAATTTGAAATTTCAGAAACCAAACTGAATGTTGGGTGGATTTTTCTATTAAAAAATAAGAAATGCTGCCTTCGTAGCTTGCTGGAGTTGCAGATGCAAAACCAGTCCACCCATCTGCGTCTGTGGGTCAGGAGGGGGCCAGAAAAACCCTCTGGTGGGGGTCACAGCCCACGGTTAAAGCAAACTCCACTTGGCCTCTGCCACCTGGCAGCACCACCCCGTTCTTCTCGCGCCCTTGAATTCGGTCTGTGCCCACCACCGTGGGAGCAGCAGACCCATCCTCAGGTGCCTCGACCCTTTCCTGGAGATCCAGCCCACCCACCGCTGTCCCTGCAGAGGGTCTCGCAGCGTGGCGGGCGGCACCGGGGGCCCCCTCGGTGTAGAGCAAAGGGCATCGCTTGCCCAGCACGGCACAGCCAAGCTGAGGTCAAGGCACGACCCGCACCCCGACCCTCCCACCCACGTTATTCCCTGACTCCCCCACTTTTCTCCCAAGTCCTCTCTGTGCTAGGGTAGAAAAAGTGGTTTTTATATTTGCAGAAGTGCAGGTTCCTGTTCCAAGACTCGCTTTGGTTGGTGTTTTTTACAGACATGCTCCAGTTACTTCACAGATACAAGATGAAGTACAATTGTAAATGATTGAGACAAATCCACAAACGGCAAGCGAACGGAAAGCCAGTTGGGTTGTCAGAAGTATTTTCTGCCTGGAGCTGCGTTTTCCTTTCCATAACACTTGTTCACTTGGGACAAAGTTTTGAAACTCCACTCTCCAGTTGCTAATTGATACCGAAGCATCTCAAGACAAGACGCCAGCGTCCCTCTTGGCTGGTGGGGAACCCAAAAAAACATCTCACGTCGTAGATTCACAGAATGATTTTGGTTGGAAAAGACCCTTCAGATCACCAAGTCCAACCGTAAACAGAACGCTGCCAATCCCACCGCTGAACCGTGTCCCTGCTCGATGTGCCTTGCTGTGAGGACTGTGGGGTGACCTCGCCTGAGAGCACCAGCCTGGATCTCCTCTGTGCTTGGGATAGGTGGGCAAGAGCAGGGCCAGCTGCAGTCGAGACCACAACAGGCTGGAGTCCCACACCCACAGCTTTTGCCAAGCACTGGCCAAAATCTTGATTCTTCCTTAGCCCGAAGCCTGAAAGCCTTGAACTGGGCAGAAGTTGCAGCACGCAATGCGCTCTCCTGCTTAAGCAATGCTTGCTCAGCTCCAGGGAGGACTTGCATGGCACAAACCTACGTAGACAACCTAGCACTAGGGATGGAGCAAGGACGGGGGTGCAGCTCCAGCTCGGACTCTCCAGGGGACAGCCTGATGCCAGGACCCCAGTCTGAGGCCAACTTGGGACACAACCACAAATATCTCATGGCACAGATCAGTGGATCATAAAGTCCTCGTGAATAGAAACACTGAGGTGCCACCGAGGAGATGACAAAGGGGCAGACACCCGAATCCTACACCTTGCTTTTACGGGAAGTGCAAGGCAAGGCAGGAGGCTTACCCGAGAGGCAGATCTCCTACAGAAAGCTCAGGTTTTTCTAGCCCAAGATACCATGCAGCACCCTTCAAACTTTAAAACAAGGAGTAAGAAGATGCCACCGCACGTTACATACACCAAAGGGACCAGGAGACCACGAAACGCTCCACCAAATACCTCTGACACCACTTCCAGCTGTTCCCGAGCATTCAGGCTCACCTGCAGACCTGTGCACCACATATGGACAGGTCTGCACTGGCAGGTCTCTGCCTCAAAGAGGACACATCTGCTGGCAAAGAAACCACAGGGCCAAAGAAATGTGAAGCACCAGCAGGGCCAGTGCCACCAGTGTGGCCGGACATCTTCCAGCTCCGTTTCAGGCAGGAGGAGCAGCAACCCCGCTGGATTGCCCAGCCTGGTCCATCTACAAGGGACAGCTGACACCCCTCAGACTCATGGCACAGAGAAACTTGCCCTCTGTGACAGCAGCAACACGTCCCTCCTTCCCGGCTAAAGCATATTCAGATCCCACCACCACGGGACATTCTGCAGCCACAGCCTCCACCGTGACCATCTGTGGAGCCGCTGGAGCTGCCAACAACAGCAGGGGGGGTGAGCAAACTGTCCCATCCACCAGCACCAGCTCACCCTCCCCGGTGCTGGGTAAGTCCCCTCCAGGCTGTCAGCTCTTTGGGGCAGTGACTGTCATTGCCAAGACAGCATCCCGCACAGCAGAGCCCTAAAGGTGACCGCAAACCTTCTTCAGCCTCAAACCAAAACATACATCTGAGGAACACGCTGAAGGGAAGAGCCTGGCATGGGGAGCGTCTGTTCTCTCACCCCCAGGAAAGCAAATCTGACGCCTCACATTGAACGTAGGGGAGAAGGATGAGTTTCTGATTGTTCATTAGGGCACGGTGGAGGAGAGGGGGTGAAAACAGAGGTGGAAGCTGCAAAAGGATGATCACAACCAAAGACGACCTCACATCAGAGATCTGCAGCGCTCTCCACCCCAGCCCTGGACCTGCACAAGTTCCCCCACATCACACAAAGAAACCAGTGTCTTCCCACCGTTGCGATTTTTTCCATACCTGGACAGGAATAAGAGGCTCTTTGTCATCGATGTCGATTAGGACATCATCCCTGGGCGTGAGGCTCACATCATCTGCAATCAGAGCAAGCACGAGCATGACCAGGACGTTCAACTGCTAGAAACCCCAAAGCCAAACCACCTTGGGATCAAGCTTCAGGAACAATTTCAACCTCGCCCAGAGCGTTCACACCAGCCAAAGCTCGTGTTCAGGCAGGTTGAACAGCTTGGCCATGGGACAGCCCATCTCACCAACCAACCCCAGAGCTAAACTCCTCCTTGGCATCTCCTTGGCTTTTTGTACCAGACCTGCAGCTAGTCTGAGCTAAAAGTGATGTACACAGCGACCCACAGCTCCCGGAGAAGGGCACGGGTGCGCAGCCAGCATGGTCCTCGTGGCAGCGCGTACCTGAGTGCTCCTGGGGACCGTCCGTCTCCTCTCGGTAGGGGTCACAGTAGAAGTCCTCCAACGAGCGGATGGTGCATTGCCCCACCACGGGCCTTCGGCCGAACGGCCTGTTGTCGATGATTTTGACGATGATGGGAGGGCTGTACAGGCTCTCCTTGGGCAAACGCTGTGGGCAGAGGGGAGGGAACACATCACTACTCAGGGCAGGGAGGGCTGCTGCTCTGCACCTCCCCAAAGCGAAGTGAGGCTGAGCAGGACAGAATTAGCTTCACCACAGGGTGCATTTTTACGGACTTCTGGAGGTCCTTCCCAACTAGCTCTTCTCTGACCCCATCACTGCAGGGTGGGGACCAGGTTCTCACCACTTCCATGAAGAGCACACAGACATCAAAGTTGGGGTTCTTCTTGACGTTCTTGATGACGCATGACTGCACGAGCTGGCCTCCGCACTCCACCAGCAGGCTGGGCGAGGTGACACTGGCCAGCTGGTAGCTCTTGAGGTTCCTCAGCCCCCAGGCCAGGATCTGAAGGGTGAGGAGAACAGACAGCAAAGACTGAGGCAAAGGTCTGCTTCCAGGCCTCTCACTGAGCTTCACAGCAACGGAAATAAACACGAAGGTTGGCCCACCATGAAGAAGGGCCGAATCAATCAAGTAGGACAGCTGGTGCTGGGAGAAGCCAGGTTGTACAGCAAGCATTTCTCCATCTACACCAATACACCAGGTTCACAACTGCTTGCCTATTAATGGAGCATCTCTGTTTTGGGCAAGTAGCCCGGTGTGAGGCAGACTCTCCTTCTAAAAAGCAGCTGTGGTCCAGGGCTGTGTTCTGCCCTAGGACTTGTCTACTTGGTGAGACTTCTTTTCGCAGAAAGACCACATTTTTTGACTCATAATCCATGGGCAGAACCAGCTCCCAGCACCGGCGGGACTCTGTATCCACAGAGTTGGGCTTGGACCTCATTTCTGGATCTCCTCCTCCCCATTAGGGACACACATTACGGGTGCCATTCTGCGAGGGGACAAGCTCCCCATCACTCACCTCGATGGCCGTGCGCTGCAGGACAGGTTTGATTCCTTGGGGGACCATGTAAATGTTGGGCTCCCGCTGGGGCGGGGGGTAAGGCAGGTCAGAGTCCGCGGACTGCGAGGAGCAGAGATGCAAAGGGCACGTCAGGTCGTGCCATGACGGGACACCAACCCCACCACCTCCCCCTCCCCACACCACATCCCCCCCAGAGCCTCTGTCTCTCTACCATACTCATCTCCCCCCAGAAGTCCAGGGCACCTGGACAGGGGACATGAAGGCTGGGGGGACAGATGTACTTGCAAACTGTTTCTCTCCCTTTAATCTGACCCTGGAAACATCTACCTGAGCCTTTCCAAGGGAACGAAGAAGGTTCTGCCCTCCGTCAAAGTTCAGCCTCCTTCAGGGGAGAAGGGGTTGAAGCCATATCTACCCCACTCCAGGACCTCAGTGAGACAGTTACATGGAGGGACAAGGAGAGGGGACGAAGCAGCAGCAGGGGGTTAATTAGTGAAATACAGCTCTTGGAGCTGGACAGAGCGAGGTGTTGTGACCAGCTCCCGAAGAGCAGCGGACAGTTTAGTGGGGCAGCACTGCGGGACAGCACCGTGGGACGGAGGGTCAGCATCGCCTCCAGATGCAGGAACGGGTCATTTTTCATTCATTGCATACAACAGGTCAGCTATAAACCTCATCTGACAGCTGCCAAGCCACCAGCCACAGGACAGGGCTCAGACAGAGCTGCCCATGCACCACGTTATGCAGGAGATGTCCTTCAGGGTGAGGCCAAATCTGGATGGCAGGTGAGAGATTCAAAATTTGCCTTCACAGAGAAGAAAAGCAGGGAGCCAGACTTCCCCAGCAGCTCAGAGCCCTCCCAGTGTCCGGGTTCTTCTTGACCTGCATCTTCCAGTTCAGAGTCACCAAAAAGGCAGGAATGAAAGCAAAAACCTCAGGAAATACCACCCTCAACCAAGGGCAGCTGGAACCAATTTTGGATACCAGCATTCTTTTCAGGCTGGAATATCATTGCATTAAATGAATTGTGTATATGTATTTCAGTTATAGGATTGGTTCAGGTATTTAAATGCTCTACAAAGGGATTCTTCACGGTGGCATGTTAGAGACACTAGACACTAAGCTTTAATTTTCCTTGGTAGTTGCTGGTGGCTGCTGAATCAAGCTGCTTGCTAGCTGAAGACTTTCAAGAACTACATCTCTGGGCAGATGATAAATCTGGGGCGGGCAGTCCCAGCTCCCGTGGTCCGCGTGCTCGCAGAAGTGGTTAGTGCTAGCAGGGGAAGGGAAGGTTATCCAGGAGATGAGCGGAGAGGCGCAGAGCATCCCCAGCATCGCTCGGGTGCTCAGCACCTCTGGTAACCCACCTGCTTACCCAGAGCCTTAACTTCAGCCTGGTCAGACATTGCGCCATCAACGTGAGCTGATCCTTCCTCGGCGTAGAGGAATAGACCGCCTGGCCCTTGAAGAGCTACCCCCAGCTTCTGTTTGTGACTCACAGCACCCTGAGCACACCGAGGTGCCCAAGCACGGACTGAACCAAGCAGAGCCTCAGTCTGTCCTTGTACAGTGACATAAGTTCATATCTAGTTTTAAATGTATTTAAGTTGCATCATAGAGATGTAGAAGTCACCCAGCCCATCTCCAGACCCCAAGTTAGGCTCGAACTCCACACAGCCCCTGTGAGATGGCTGCAGAGTCTGTTCCCAAAAAGGGCACCTAAAGCTTCACTGATGCAAATATCATGTGTTGCATTTCCTTATTGTCACTGGACTAAAGATCATTTCAATCCTTCTGTCCTCTGGCAACTCTGTATGGGAAAATGGGAAAGCCCTGGGGAAAGACCTCCTGGCTGTCCCCCATCCTCCCAGGTTCAACAGCAGCTTTGAAAGCCAACAGTGCACACGTGGCTCCTAACACTGCAACGTCTCCAGCCAGCACCAGCCATTTCTACGTCCTTCTCATTCCCTTCTGCTCTCCTGGCTGTTTTGCAGTTGTTCTCCTGAGTCTCCACTGAACGCACGAGCATTAAATGTTTCACCAGATGGGACAGAAGTGAGCAGCAAGTCCTGAGGATGAGGCAGGAGAAGGGAGGGTTCGGGGTGGTAGCGGGGAACAAGCAATTCCCAGACACAGCTCTCAGCCCAGACACAGCGGGCTGGATGGAGGAGACACCCACGAAAAGGCCTGTGGGGTCTGCTGGCAGCTGGGATGGTTTGAACGAGGACAAGTCAGAGGGAAACGGGATGGAAGGGAGCTCTGGAGACCACCTACTCCAACCCTGACTTTGATACAGGGTTGGAATAGAGACGAGTGAAAGTCAACACAGATCATCCCAGTCCAACAGTGGCTGGAAAAGTCTACCAGTTTGAGCGCACAGCTGGGACGTGTGGTTTCAAGCTTACATCCCAGTGCTTGGAGGGGATCTAGCCCCAAAAGGCTGCTCCCATTTACACCAAGCAGAAATGCTGTAGAAGGAAGTCTGGCACCAGCCTGGTTGTTCAGGTACATCATGAGCCTGATGCTTGTATGAGCCAGATTCTCCACCAGGCTCGTTATCTACGGCTGAGGGCACTGGAGGCCTTGGGCTGGCAGCAGTCTTTTGGACGCAGCCTCGGCAGGTTGGTCTGGGTGGGGTTGGGGTTGGTCTGGATGGGGTTGCTGTGGGGCAAGCGGGGCAGGCCATGTCTGAAGGAGCTGGTCTCTCTGACAGTTTCTGTTGGGACTTGCTTGGTTTCTGGAGAAGGGCAGAGGAATAGCAGAGAGTCAAGTGTCTGAGCATAAAAGGTACCAATTGGAGGAGCCCCTCGTAGAACAAAGCAGTGGTGCAGAGCTGTGGAGTGCCCAGTCCAGAAATGGCAGTGGCAAGAAATGGAGGAGAAAGAGCAGAGAGATGGTTATGTTTACACGAGCTCATCCATCTCAGCCCACGTGGAGCACGAAGAGGAACCCCACACTGTCAGGAAAGGCTGCTTGGGTGGAAGAAACCCATCTTGCAAAAACCTGCTTATCCCATCCTACCTTTTGTGGAAAAGTGCCGAGGCTCTTTGCATGTCCTGTGTCAATCCTAGCTCATCTCCCAGACCTCGGGGTTAACTGGCTCCTAGGGCCACCACAACACTCCAGTAGACATGCCCCTTGTTCAGCTGCCTGCCTGGGGTTTTACAAGATACCAGCCTACCCTGGCAGCACTCGGTTCAGCTGGAGATCTGCTCTGCAGCATGCACAAAGCCTGGGTAGCAACTCTGACAGGCTGCCCAAGAAGCAGCTTGGGATCCCGAGGAGACTACATCATTCAGAGCAATCGGAACAGTCCAGCACACCCCCCAGTTCATGGCGAATTCCCCGTGAAAAGAAGCAACCTTTTCAACTGGGATGCCAGGTGAGGTCCCGCCAAAGGTCAGCCCAGCATTTCGGCTTTTACATGCTTTGTTTGGAAGGGTTGAACACCAGTGGACCTCATGCACACACATCCCACAAAGGTTAAACATTTCCTGACATGCCCCACCATCGGGAACGCTTCCAGAGTTAAGCATGGAGCCCATCTACCCTGTCCTGCTGGCGATCACTCATCTTACTAAAATCCTGGTGCTACTGGCTTGACTCCTCAAGCGGCTGTCCCATGCAGCCACAATTTTAACAACCTCCAAGGTGAAGAGACAACTAAATCCCACAGACTCACCTCATCGAGGCTGGAGGACAGCTCGCTCTGGAGAAGAGAGGGACAGCGTAGAGTTAGAGCAATTCTCATCCATCAGCCCATCCCAGGGCTTACAACTGTAGCTGATAACTGAGCAGGAAAAGGATGCTCTCCGAGCTCCCGCACACCACCAACCCCAAGCTTGAGAAGAAATCCATACAGGTAACTTAAAACCATTTAAAATCCAGCATCAGTTGATGCCTTTGCTCAGATGGTTTGCTGCAGGGCTGGAAACACGCTGCAGTGTCGGGAAGCCCAGCCCTTCGCGATGGGAATGCTGAAATTATGGCAGGGCAGGAAGGTTGACACCTGAGGAATCTGTCACAGGATGCATTTGCCCTGTCTTCTGGGTCAAAAGTGAGCTTCCTCACTCACTCCAGCTTTCTCTACCATCAGCTGAAGGAAAGTGGCAGCTGTACATGGGGATTCCTTCATCCTAAAATAAGTCCGTAAGACGGCGTAGACAAATCGCCTGCTGCTTGCAAGGTCCACTGCAAACCTCTGCAGGAGCAGCTGATGGTGCTGGGACCCAACAGCTCTGCAGGCAGGGGAAGGGGAATATCTCCTTCTCTGGAGATATTCCAGACCCGTCTGGCCACGGTGCTGTGCAGCCTGCTCTGCGTGACCCTGCTTGGGCAGGGGGTTGGGCTGGGGGACCCCAGAGGTCCCTGCCAACCCCGGCCATGCTGGGATTCTGGGATTCTAAGGGCGGACGGGATCTGGGAGAGGCAAACAGGAGAAAGGCGTTACCTCGAAGCCAGGGATGTGGTGGACAGCCGGCTGTGGAGAAAAAACACATACATTCCATTCGCCCTCCTGGTGCTAACTCCGCTTTATCTGGCAGAGAATCATCAGCCCTCCCATGGCCACGGGCTGTCCCCCTCCATGCCCAGCTCCAAAAAGCCCGGGCACGAGGGCAGGGCTCTCCCTCCAGCAAGGACGTACGAGCAGAGACTTCATTCCACCCAGCTGCTTGCTGCCAAGATCAGACGAGGTCCTTAGAGAGGACCTCCCCCTTTTCCAAGGTCTTCCCCACCCAGTTCAGTAACTTCTGAGGGGGTTGAGGAGGAAGAAGAGGCTGCGTGCGGATGATTTGATGCCCGGTCCTGGCAGCAGAGACATGCCCTGACCCCCACCCAGCAGCCCCAGCCCAGTGCAGCAAGGCTTGCACCCAGAGCATCCACCCCGGCAGCCACAGCAGCATCTCGCACAGCATCCCTCCAGCAGCAGAGCTGGGACCTCCATCGGAGAGAGGCAGGGGGGACCGGTGGGACCCCCGTTCCCAGTCAGAACCTCGGGGCTGGGAGGGAGGAACAGGACGGGGAGATCTCACCTCCCAGCCCATCCTTTTTCCCCTGGCATAGAACCACGTCTGGGCTGCGGCCAGCGGAAAAGCCAGAGAGGAGAGAGACGAGGGGGTGGCACGTGCAGGGGGACACGGAGGGTGGGAAGGCACGCGATGGCACACTGGGACATGACGAGGAGCCTTTCCCACCCAGACCAGCTCCAAAGCACACAGCCTCCTTCCCCCAGGGCTCGTTAGGTGAACGGCCAGCACTGAGAGCGCCCGCTTCAGCTCTCATAAACCCCCTCCAGAAATCAACTCTGAGCGAAGGGCAACGATCTGAGGACAAATGCACCAGCGAGGAGAAGGGGCCAGGGCTCCGAGCTCGGCAAGGCACGAGGACGAGCAGCCGCAGAGCTGCGGAGCCTGGGAGGGCAGAACTCTGCGCCCAGAAAACGTTGGGTCGTGCCGGGTGCTGAGAGGCTCCAAGGGAAGAAGCCAACATTGCAGTTAGGGGCAGGATCAGGTCCGGGTGGGGAGCTCACCTTCTCCCTCTGAATCAGCTCGAAGGCAGCCAGCAGCTCCCCGACGTTTCTGTTCGCCTTGATGACCGGGTGCCAGGAGAGCCGGGCTGAGCGCGCCAGGCTGGGCTTGCAAATGCTGCGCCCCATGAACTCATCCGCACCCTGAAAGGCAACCGCAGGCACGTGGAGCTTCCTTCCCACCCCGCCTCCCGGTGGAGTCCATCACCACGCACCCGCATCTCAGCCGAGACCCCGTCACTCCAAAATCGGGCTCAATGTCTGAACCGTTATGGGACCAGTTCAGAAAGAGAGATGGCTTTGATGCCCACATAAACTCCAGCCTTCAAACTCCTCCCTGGAGCTACTAGAGCTAGAAACGCGCTCTTTCTTGTGCATTTTGGCTTAAACAGGAGGTGAAATTCCTATGGTATCCTACGATTTCCAGAGCAGGAGCTCCAAGTACAACCTTAAGCATCAGCAGCTCTCAAAAAGACCATTCACTGGTCTGCACCGGGCTCTTCGGTTGCTTTTGCTGCTTCCTGCTGGCGTCTTCTGGAGGAGGGAGGGCAGGAGGGGTCCTGAGAGGTTCCTGAGATGTTCCTAAGCTGTGTTCTAAGTGCTTTTCACTTCTGCGCTACTCTTATATGCAGTCTGAAATCTCTTCTGCTCTGGTGACATGCTACAGTCCAGTTTTTCTAGGAAAGACCCAAGATTATCTCACCAGCTCCCCAAATGCCATCACTAGAAGGCACCTGGGATACCTTTGGGCAGCTGAGCAAACAACACTATATCATCCCCTACTTACATGACTGCTTTAACACCCATCCCAAGCTTTTTGCAACAGGAAATATGGTTAATTTGGCCACCCTGCAAAACACGCTGTACATGCAGCTTTGGTAACTGGAGCAGGGCCACCAAGGACATCACTAGCGGAGCTATTTGCTGAATTTTTGTCTCCTGAGTGTCCAGCTCCAGGTCTCA